CGCCCGCTCACCTTCGTCCGTCCCCGTTTCTCCGCCTGGCGTCTTCAGGCCACCACCTGGTGAGTAAACAACAAGAAGGGCGTATCCGTCCAGGGGCAGTAATTGCTTCTACTCGAGCACACTGACATCAAAGTGACCTCAACTTACTTCATCTGACTTACGGCTTTGAGGTCTAAAGGGATTAGGAATATAAGCGGAGAAGAATAATCCCTTGTGCCACAGAAGCTGTTTCACCAAGCTGCTATAGTCAACCTGAACACAAAACGTTGTTCGTGCTGACCATTTTGATGAAACACCCTACTTGAAAGACCAACTTTGGATCTGTCGTGCTCGAGCTGATGCTGTCTACAAGACTGAGCCGAGGTCTCTGCCTGGTGTGCATGTGGCTGTCTACATTGCTGACGTTATAATGGAGACTCAATCAGGTAAGCGTTTCTCACTGGATACGCTTCTTTGTGTCTTTGTGGTCCTTTTACGGTGCAGTCGAATCTGCCCAAGACGATCATCCATAGTTGAAGAGAAATAGTTTTAGTCTGGAGGTCCCATTAGACAGTGTTGCAAATATGATACATGTATAGAAAGAAACCCCAGGGGGAAAGTGCGAAGTGGTCTTTTGCACTGGTGATTGTCTTGGGCAGATTGTCGTTAGAGGAGACTGGACTGTATGTGTGGAAGATTTCCTACATTGTATTGCTAAAACAGAACCCAGACATAATATACGTGTACAACTGGTACCTCTATCAATAAGTCATTGAGGCCTAACTACCCAGTAACTTTACATTGTCGACGCAAACCCCCTCTCCCACCACAAACACACATACAGACCCCCCCCCCCAAACAAACAACAATCATCAACATATTCTTAACATAGCCATTGACAGTTCCTAACCTGTATAAACGGGCACACCTTCTACTGAAACTCAACGGCTGTTAGATCGGTCGCATCAGTAGACCTTCAACTTTACCAGAAACATTGCGTTTAGACCTTCAACAAAATCTGGCACCTGCACGAATTTGAAAATTATTTCAGAAATCTAAAGACCCCCTCCCCCAAAAGCAATAACCCACCCCCCCCTTTTTTTTGTGGTAAGTGTTTTACGGCGCTCGCATCTGCATAAGGTCTTATAGGCGCGGAGGAATCATTAAACATTTTCAATTGTTAGGGAATTTTGAATTTTGCCCTGGTAGCGGCCAAAGCGTACTCTTATCGATGTTTGACCACCGAGCGATCTTTAACGTGCGCA